TTAAAAAGCTGAATAAATTAAATTTTCGTAACTGATAAATAACAAGCTGTTGCAAGGTCTTATTTGAGAAATAAATACGTATTTTTTGGGGTCGAAATCTTACCCAATCAACTTCTTGTTTCTCCCCCTCTTCCCACCCACAAAAAGCCATTTCTTTTAATTGTTTAACAACCATTCGCTCCCGTTGGCCCCCTAAAATAACGAGCTGATAACGATGGCTGTGCGATGACTCAAAAAATGCCAGAAGCAGAACACTCACGATTAAAACAGAATTTCGGAGAAAAACCGACTGGAACCGGACAAGAGACAAGACAAGGCTTAAAAAGAGCTCGCAAAAATCGCAATTTTACTGTTACGCGACGTTTTTAATTACAATTTTAGTGAATGGGTAAAAACCATAATTAAAAATAATACAGTAAAAAACATCTAGTGCTTGATAGCCAATTTTTGCCAATTCGAAAAAAATAATTCTTTGCTCAAAAAACGTACTTTGTAGTGTCAAGCTTCAAATTCCAGTAGGCTGAAATCCTATGTATAAAAATAGTAAAAAAATGATAAAATTTGTAAAGCAATTTGGTGGTGGTCATTTAGTGTGTATGGCAACATCGCGCGTAGTAAATGGATCTGTGTGTTTATCCCGGTACCACCTCGCACCAGCTGGCCCTTTCAGGGGGTTGCTAGTCTAGACTTGGGGCACCCTAGCTTGTAACACACGCTCTCTCTCTCTCTCTTGCTCTCTCTCTCTCTCTCGCTCGCTCTTTCTCTCGATCGCGTTCTCTCTCTCTCACGCACTCTCTCTCGCGCTCTTTCTCTCGATCTCGCTCTTTCTCTCACTCTCTCACTCTCTCCTCCCTCTCACTCACTCAGTCACTCTCTCTCGATCTCGCTCTCTCACTCTCTCACTCCCACTCCCCCTCTCACGCACTCTCTCTCCTCTCTCTCGCCCTCTCTCTCTCCCTCTCTCTCTTGCCCTCTCTCTCTCCCAATTCTCTCTCACTCTCTCTCTATCCCCCTCATTTGCATCCAAACACGCAAAAACGTGTGTAAACCAGAGGAGGTTTTGGCCGCCCAGCTGGTGTTGATGTGAAAGGTCAATTTGTCATCCAGTCCGCCGGAAAAACGGTGCTACGTAGCTAGCAACGGCAGGTTCTCCGACGTCAGTGGCAGACATTTCGGCGAGGCAGCTAAGGCAGCCCAAAACAAGAATCCAAGCATTATTTCAGAGCGATTGCTTGATACCGCTGCTCTAGCAACCGAGCTGTTTACGGCGGTCCGCTTCAGCCTTTAGAGCAACCAGAAAATGTTCAACAAACTACCGTACCTCCCCTCTACAAAATATTTTGATCCGCAGCCTTAAAAAACAACAAAAAATCTGGTGCCAACAAACTTGAGTTATAAAAAGAGTAATATTAACTCCCAATGAACACGCGTCCCCGTATTGTTGCGTTGGATTGACGTTCAGACAACGCGAAAACATCCAAATTTTGTTCGGAACGCTTCGATTCGACACAATTAACGCTGTGACAAACATTGGTCAGTGAATCTGGTATAAAAGGCACCGGATTTAGCCGGTAGAGCATTACTTTTTACAGTATCCAAGTAACGTTACCCAATTCTTCCAGAAAAAAAGATGGCTTCCCAACGCTTGATCGTGGCTGTGGCGCTGCTCTTCTCTGCGGCAGCTTTTGGCCAGCAAGGTGCTCTATCCGGTGGATCATCGGGAGAAACTGGTGGAGGAGCTTCATCTCAACTCTCGGACTGTACCTGTCCTTCGCCGGTTCCTGATGTCAAGGCGCTGGCTTGTGCCTTGGATTGGAGTGAGTCGAAGTTATCACATTAACGGGGCTCAGAAGTCAAAATTCGTGCGTGAGGGGATTGAACCTACGGGTCAAAAAACGAAGGCGTCACAGCCGAGAAGTACCAAAAAAGTGATTTGATTGCGAAAAAAACGTAAAATTTTTGAAAAAACCAAATTTTGTTGGGGCGAAAACGACATTTTGAGTGGGCGGCGATTAGATGTCGTGATGCCTTGTAAGGCACCCACAATTTTCATGATTTAAGAGTCTAGAATGATCAAAATTCGTTGAGCATTCCAAAAACCGCATCAGAATTTTGAAATTCAAGCGTTTTCGCGTCCAAACAGGGGCAAAAGATCATGCGGCGCGGTCGCGTTGCGGGCGCATCTGGCTATTTGCCAGGAATCACAGCAGGGGGGGGGGCAGCAGATTTCGGAGCCCCTTTAAGATCATTCTCATTTTCAGTCTCGGAAGTGCGCATCTTGAACAAGACCCAAATGCAAGTTGGCAACGAGACAGTCTCTGCATACACCCTCGAACATCTCGACATTCTGAAGGGTACCGTCAATATCCCATCCCTCCTCATCGTCCCCAACAGTCCATGTGGACTTGTCCTCGAATCTGATGTTCAATATCTTCTCTCAGGTATGCCATACATTTCTAAATATAAAAACCAGTGGAAAAAGACCGTTTCGCGGCCCTTGTCCACTGAATCACGTCCAGGAACCACGAATCTGAAGGGCCTGGCCTGAGGCGCTAGAGCGAGAGCCAGGCCTGAATCTCGCGCTAGAAACTTTTTGCCTGCTGCGCTAGTTGCTGGTTGTTCTGCCGGATTTGGCCTGCGGCGCAAGAGCCTAATTCAAGGACCCAGCCTAGGCCTGCGGCACAAGAGCCTAATTCATGGACCTTTTCTTCGGCTTGCGGCGCTAGAGCGAGGGCCCGGCAGAAACCTCGCACATCGAGAGCCTCGAAAGCTATTTTGTTGCTAAACTACCAAAAAGCAAAACGGCAAATTGGCCCAGGATCCGAACCCACGTCCTTCCGCGTGGTAGACCGTGAAATAACCCACTACACCACGAGGCGGCTGGGAGCAGCCGGCGGGAAAGGCCTCTTCCGTCCTGGGGATGGACGGGGAGGCAAAGGAAGGGCCGACCCAATGCCCCGGGCGGGAGGCCTCCTGGCCACTTTACAAAATTCCATTTTTGAGTCTCAATCCGCTGAAAATTTGTAAAGATAATAAGATGCGCGTACACATACGAAAAGATACAGAAAACAGACATCCGTTTCTAGTATTATAAAAAATGTTTCCCAGGTATCGTCTCGGGCCAAAATTTCCTGTTCACCAACTTGTGCCTCAACATTCTCCACGTCATCTCCCCAGTAATGTCCGAAGTTCCATCGGGTCTTCTTGACACTGTCAGCAATCTGGTGTGCGACATCTTCAACCTGCTGCCCACGTAAGTTGGAGCTGTTCGCAACTCCATACCATGTGTCTTTTTAGTCTCCCCAGTTGGTTGGAGGGTAACGGTGGTCTTCTTGGCCATCTCCTTGGCGCCAATGGAAATCCTCTTCTTGATGGTCTGATTGGCGGTCCATCCGGAGCTCCCGGAGTTATCGACAGCCTCCTCGAGCAGCTTCTCGGTTCCAATCTCCTCAAGGTATCGGGCCATTGAAGAATCCACTTCCATTTCCCCCATTTCAGGCCATCCTCGCCGGTCAAGATGGTGCTCTTCTCTCTAACCTGCAGCTGGCTGATAATGCTGGTCTCCTGGATGGAATTATCGGTGGTGTGCTGGGAGGAGGATCTTCTGGATCTGGATCTGGCGGAAGTGGTGGTGGTCTTCTTGGCGGTATCCTTGGAGGAGGTGGCCTTCTTGGCCGCAAGTGAGCAACCCCGCAAAAAGTGGAGTAACAGATTTCTGTACCATAATGTTCCTTTGAATAAACATCCAAGCATTAAAGTCGCTACGCAGTAAGCCAGAACGAAGCTGCACCACGCTTTTCTCTCGCATTCCTTTTTTTGGGATAATGCTTGCCGGGCCTGGTAACAAAAATCGTTAGCGGCGGCAGTGTTTTCGCAATTCCACCGTGCCAACTTGAGGTTCCCTTGTCGGTATTGGGCTCTAAGGCGATGAAGAGCAGATGCGAACCGCTAAGGGTACCGGGAAGTGAGAGAATCTACCCCTTCTGCCGCCTAGGTCTCGACAGCTACACGAGACTCTAAATGACACAGCTGCTTCGCCATCTTACCGCCGTAGCGAGTGGAAATTCGGAAAAAATAAAATGGCAATTGACGCGTCTTTTGGATTGTTATGTAACTGTCGAGACCTAGTCGATTGGAAAGGGTGGGTTTTTGGCATCCTGGTGCCGTGAGGCGTTTTTCGGCGTTCAAGCATAATATAGCTTTTTTAAAGCTGTTTTTCCTTCTTAAAACTGAGGGTTTATCCTACCTTCCCTTTACTTAAAAAATCCATCCCTTCCGGCCAAAACACCGCCCAGAGGACAGGAATCTCATTTTCTGAAAAGGGCCCTAAACGCAAGCGGGGCCTTCCTCGGCTAGGACCAAGACAAGGACCCAAAGGACCCGAAAAGGAAAAGGCCGGGCCAATTTCCCGTTAAAAACTGAAAAGGAGACGGAGGAGGAGGGGGAGGAGGAGCAGTGAGTGAACTCGACTGAACGACCCAAGGATCCCGGAAGGTATTCGATTCCTCTAAACCTGTCCTAAATAGCGTGCAGTGACCGTATTCTACCGTACCCTAAGATACTGTACCGTATTCAACCATATCCCGCTGCGTAACGCCGAAAAATACGCATTTCTGAACTTTTTAAAAGCTGATATCTAAACATAGCCTTATACCGTGCTCTAACGCACCGCACCGTACTTTAACGTACTACAACCGTACTACGACGTACTACTACCGTACTCTAACGTACTCTAACGTACTGCACCGTATTCAACCGTCTTCCGCTGCTGAACCCCGGAAAATACGCATAACTGAGCCTTTTAGTAGCTGATATCTAAAAATTCACATTAATACCGTATACCGTACTCTAACGAATTACTGTACCCTAACGTACTGCACCGTACCGCTGTTAAAACACAAAAATATTTTACGCATGCAAAACATACATTTTTGACACCGATCAACTTTTTGCTGACACCCTGATCTTCCAAAACCCGTCTTTCACTACCAGATTCCGCGATGCTACTCTATTTCGCAACCCTTATTCTCTACCTACAAAATTCGATCGACAGCAGCGTCGCCACAAAACGCCACAAAATCTCGGTGCTCATTTTTGGGGCGCCGAAGTTCGAGGATACGGTGCATTTCGTACAGGTTGTCATCGGGACATTATTGGAATTTCTGCAGCTTTAGGGCGCTTTTGAGGAAGTATTTCTTGGTGAGAATTTCCGGATCGGGGAAGCCGAGTTTCACCCGGAATTTATTGAAGTGAAGGCGCCGGCGGGCGGGAAGTGGGTGTCAAAGAATTTCTGCTAGTCTGCCCCTCCATCCCCTTCAATTCCTCAAAGAATCTCTGCTAGTCTGCCTCATGGATTTTATTTTTAGCTCAACAAATCTCCTTGAATTAACCTCCGAAATCCTCTGCAAACCCGTTATTAATGGATCGGTGGCGGTCGTGATCTACCGGCATCGAGGGGAGGAGAGTACACATCAGGTAGATCTCTCTCTCTCTCTCTCTCTCTCTCTCTCTCTCTCTCTCTCTCTTACTCTCTCTCTCTCTCTCTCTCTCTCTCTCTCTGTCTCGCTCTCTCTCGCTCTATCTCTATCCCCGGATCTCTTTTTCAGGATTACCTCTCGCTCGTCTCAACCACCGCCTTCACATTGGGCCTCTACCAAGTGCCAGTCGTGGCCGGCATGGTCAGGGATGAAGATTTTGGGCAAAAGGTATGGGAGGCGAGACGTAGTGGTCGCGTTGCGTGTCTCCTTCTGTACTCCAAGCGGCACGCAGCGCAGCCGCAACGCTCCAAATGGCCGAGATTTTCGAAACGGAAGACGGTTTCGTTCTGTTTAGCTCGTCTACCCGAGCTTCATCCGGCCGACGCCCTCCTTCAGCGACGAGGCCCATGTTTTCCTGTTTTTGCTCGAGAAATTAAACTATCGGCAGGTCAGCTTGACTTCAAGGCCTCGTTAAATCATTTCAGGTCAGCCTAATCCACGTTAAAGGCGATAGAAACGGAGCGGCATTCAAGTTGGCCTTCCGGCAGAAGCGGAAAATTTTTAAAATACACGTAACTTTTCCTTTTCTTGTATGCGAGTATTTTTGGGAGCAGAAGATGTTTTAAATCCGTTTCTAGGTGCAATCGTACGTGGAGGTCGAGTTGAACGAGGAGCTGAACAACACGATAGCAGAGAAATTTGAGGAAATCACGTCGAATATTATAGTGCTGTTCGCAAAGTGAGGTCTACGGTAGCTAAAAGTGGCCCTTATCGCGTCATGGAATACACCTGGTCCCTTTAAAATGTCTAGTTTAGGAAAAAGGCAGCTGAAACGATATTTTCGGCTTGTCCACAGCTAACCTCTGGTGGAAAGTTGTGGCTGATGAATGAAGAAGCCATGAAAGCTGTCAATTCACCAATTGGTAAGTTTCGCGAGCCAGAACTTCAAAAGAGAACTCTGTTTTCGGCCTGATCGGCTCCAGGTTGACGCAAACGCCAAGTGAAGCCCTCCGGGACTCATTTTCGATCATAAAGGTACGGTATAAAAAGTAACGGAAGCGACCTTATGGTGTAACTAAACTAACGAGGCGAGTTTTTTGGTCCTGTTTCGCGCTTAAAGCTTCGTAATTTTTTGAATCTGATCGTTTCGCAAATTTTGAAGCCAGGTTCGGAATCAGCGCAAATTTCTGCACAAGATAGGCTTGGTCCCGTACCGAAAATACATTGTCATGGAAAAACGTTCCTTGTAAGTTTAGTCCGGTCTGGAAGCCGTCGGCGATGGAGTGGCCGGGCTACAACCACCAACAACCTGCGAAAAAGACGCAAACGCGAAGGGTGTCGATTTATGGTCTACGATCCAAGCGCCATTAATTTATCGGTATTTCATCGAGCTATAGCTGTGCCTAAAGGGAGTAGAAAGCCCTAGAACGACCCTCTCGCTCGACTGGGTCTCGACAGCTACGTAGGACTGCAAATGACACTTGGAAATCGAGTTTTGGTGCGGCTTAGAGAGACACTAAACGATACGACTTTGAAGCAACATTTAAACGCCTGTTTAAAGGTGTTTTCGGTTGCTGCATGGCTGTCGAGACCCAGCTAGCGTCAGGGGTCGAAGTTCGAGCTTTCGAGCTCCTTTAAGATCGATTTTTTTTTAGCTATTTCTGCTCCCCCGCCTCCTCCCGCCTCTTTTTCAACGAGGTCTGCGCCCGCGAGGCCATAAACTACGATTTGTTGAACAAGAGTCCGGACGGGATACGGTATATCGGGAATGTGGTGAGTTTTGGCAAAAACGGCGGGTTTTTATGTCTATTAAAGACCGATGACATCCTAAAACTCGACGAGTGGAAGATATTTTGGCCTGGTGCAACGGCCAAGCCACTGGAGATTACCTTACCTAGGCATTTACGGTAGGCAAAACCTCGTGAAAACCACAAAAATTTGAAATTTAGGGTGGTTACGGTTGACGATCCGCCATTTGTCTACGCGATTCCGATTCAAAATTTGAGCCTTTGTGACGAGTTGGGCGAGCAGGAGATAAGACTGTCGGATGATGGGAGCATTAATATCGTAAGTTATGGGTATCCGATTACGACAGGAAATTAACTAAATGTCCAAGCTGATCCTGAAATTTGGCTTCAGGGGCCCTTAAAAGCCAGCAAAAATTTAATTGCGTTTGAAGCCAGACTGGACTTGTTGCGCGCGTGCTGCGTAGGACACGTGTCTGTGCGTTGCGTAGCGCCGCGTAGCGTAATTAGCGATGTGTAGCGTTACGTGGCGTTGCGTAGCGTAGCGCAACAGCATGCAGGAACTTTGCGACTCACTTTGCGGATCTGTTCCGCCCAGCTGCGGGCTCCGTTCCAACAGGTTGCGGTCGTGCTGCGGCTAAACTTTCGTGGGATCGCGCAGCCCGTTTCTGCCGGGTTGCGGTCGCGTTGCGGATAACTTTGCGTTGTGTAGCGCACTGCAAAGAGTTGCGACTCTTGGCAGTCGAATAGGGCATCGCGTACGCGTAGCGGGTGCGCTGCCTGTGCGTCGCGGGTGCGTTGAAGGACAACAACTGCGTAGCGCTCAAGGCCCGTTCGCGGCACGTTTTCAGCCCGTTTTCGGCGCATTTCGGATGCGTCAAAGCCGCTCTACGGTTGTCTCAAATCTCAAACGTATAAGCCAAGCAAAAGTATACCAAACAGAAACGCATTCCAGTCTAGCGTTAAATTCAAGTTTTTTTTCAGGCTGGCCCGTGGTATCCATGCCCCAAGCGGGTCCCAAACACGCGACGCTCCGATCCGTTCTGCTGCGCTGGCTACGCGATCGATTTGCTCTCTAATATGTCGCTGCCAGAAGTGAGCACAATGAGCAAGCACGTTCAAAGTGGTTTTCCAAGACGGGTAGCTGGCTGGACACATCATTCTCTTTCTCTCTTCACTTGAACGAGAGCTATGGTGTGGTCACCGCGCATCCCCAAGACGGAATGTTACTCTCTGGGGCACTGGGCGAGCTTGTGTTTGATCTGGCTGATATGGCTGTAGGTCAGTTAGAACGTGATTTTCTTTATCTGCCCACCGGTTTTTAGAGTGCGTCAAGCATCCGGTTTTTTAAACAAATATTTCTAGGGGGAATGACGATCAATCCGGAGCGGGAGCGTTTTATCGACTTTTCGGAGCCATGGCTGTACCATGGGATCCGAGTCATGGAGAAATCGGTATGTTCCGCGGGGTTTCTTCGAAAATTATTTGTTTTGTAGAATCCTCGAGGCTCCCCGATGCAATCGTTTCTTCAACCGATGAAATCCTCATTATGGGGAGCTCTCTCCGTATCTGTACTTCTGGTCGGATGCGTCATTTTTCTGCTCGATTTCCACAGCCCATTCGATCGATTTTATAAGGTAGGAGAACGAGTGAAAGAGAGAGAGAGAGAGAGAGAGAGAGAGAGAGAGAGAGAAGAGAGATAGAGCGAGAGAGCGAGAGAGATTGAGCGAGAGGAAGAGAGAAAGAGAGCGAGAGAGAGTTTGCAAGAGAGGTGAGAGAGAGCGAGCAATTTCAAACCCCATTGTCAGCTCGACGCCGGCGGTTTGGACCCGCAAGACCCATTCCTAAAGCAAGCCCAAGACGACCGAGTCGATTTCGGGGAGGCGATGTGGTTCGTCTGGGGCGTGCTGCTCAATTCGGGAGTTTCGGAAAGTAAGCAATTATCTATATTATTTCATTAACGCCAATCGATCCCTCAAAAACAAAGGGTAGGTTCCGCTACGTTTCAGAAACACCCCGCTCTTTCTCGGCTCGGGTTCTCGGAATCGTGTGGTGCGGCTTCTGCATGATCATCGTCGCCTCCTATACGGCTAACCTGGCAGCGTTTTTGGTGTTGGATCAGCCGGAGAAGGGACTTACCGGGATTGCCGATCCGAGGGTAAGAAGGAAAGTACGGACTTAACTGCGATTTCAGCTCCGGAACCCCTCTACCAACTTCTCAGCGGCTACCGTGTTGAATTCAAACGTTTATCAGTATTTCAAGGTTGTAACTTTCACGATTTCACCAAAATTTTCGCGAGTTTTAGCGCCATGTCGAGCTATCTACGATGTTCCGAAAAATGGAAGCGCACAACGTGCACAAACCCGGGGATGCCATTAATGCGCTGTTGAACGGGTTGGTGCTGATCTACTGTTTTCAGGGGATGCGAAGTACTACGAAGTACGACCCTTTCGTCGAATGGGTCTCGACAGCTGGCCCACCGTCCAGTTGGCATTTTTTTCATTCGCGTTTCGGATACCTTGGACGTGAAATTCGGAAAAACGAGTTCCGTTCGTCGCGTCTTTTGGACTGGCGCGTAGCTGTCGATGCCTCTTTAATGAAAAGGGTCGAGTTTGACGCTACGCAATCCCATTAAAAGCTCAGAAAACCTTCTAAAAATCGCCAACACGCCGAATTTTTAGGTCTCTGGATGCGTTCATCTGGGACTCGAGTCGGCTGGAGTTTGAGGCTTCCAGGAGATGCTCTTTGAGGTAAAAATCTCCCAATAATTTAATTAATTACACTTGCTTAGGTTAATGATATTTCAAGTATGTAAAACTATCGCTAAACTTTAGAACGCGTGGATCCTTATTCGGCCGTTCGGCGTATGGTATCGGACTGCAGCGGAACAGCCCGTGGACCCAACATATTACGGCTGCAGTGCTGCGAATGACGGAAAGTAAGGTTTACCGATATATCATGGCATCTCACGCTAATTTTCGCTATTTTAGAAACTTTAAAAGCTCTTAAAAATGCTAGAAAAACATTCAAGACCATGAAAATGATAAAATTCTTATTTTCAGAGTTATAACATTTCTAACTTACAAAAATTCTTAACAAAATTTATATAATTGCATTAAATGCAGAATTGCTGCCTTAGAAATTCATTTAATCCAATTTTTAGGCGGCCAAATGGAGGCGCTGGATAAGAAGTGGATTTCCATACCTTCACAATGTGCTGTAGACGCTCACAAGTCACCGGCACGGCTTGGTACGTCTTTTAAGACGTTCTAGGCTTGAAAACCTTTAGAAAACAAATCGAAAATCAATAAACTACAGCTCAATTCCCCTGAAATTCAGGCCTAACCAACATGCGCGACGTGTTCGTGCTGGTCACGGCGGGGGTGGTGGCCGGGTGCTTTTTCAGCGCCATCGAGGTCATCTACGGCCGGAAGCGGGCTCTGAAAGGGTACTGTAAATCGAAAAACCCCTAAAATTCCTGTTTCCAGCCGAAGAAACGAGATCGCGAAGCGCTACTTCACCAAGTGGCAAAAGCTGACCGACAATCGAGGCTCGAGACAGTTGGTTTTTCTAAAAGTTGACCTGGCTACCGTAAGCCACATAAATTCAAAACTCCGCTTATATACTCTTAAACTATTTATTAAACGCAAAAAAATGCAAAAAAATCGTATTTTATTGACTTAAACTCGCCTAAAAAAGTAAAAATTTTCTCGATTTTCTGGTCGTCTAAAAGTTGCCCCAACTACCGTAAACCCTCTAAATTTGCATAAATCCGAAAAATACGGTAAAAAAAGTTACAAAAACCGGACATTTTTTTCCTACTTTTTGGTTGTTTTCTAAAAGTTGAACAAACTACCGTAATCGCAATCTTATTCACTTTTCTAAATCTTGGATACATCTACCGTAATTCTCTCTAGATTTCCGCGTCGCTACCAGCTAATGCGACCCGTGATTCGACGAGGATTTGCTGGCAAGGAGGCAGTCGCTTTGGACGTGGGTTTATGGCATTATTAAGGCAAAAATTTGCCGTTTAAAAGTTTAATATTATGTTCAAAGTGATCAGCTACCGTATCTGAATGTCAGAAAATAAGAATGATAACATTTTTACAGATTTTTGAGCCTAACATCCCTGTGACCTTTATGCCCTTCCTGTGCCCCGAAACGCGAGCCACCTGGCCCACCCATCTGCCTGGGGTATATAAGGAGGGCCCCTTCCACTCTTCACGTTCATTCCTATGAACATATACTAAAATTGGAACAATACAGAGAAGATTAGCATGGCCCCTGCGCAAGGATGACACGCAAATTCGTGAAGCGTTCCAAATTTTTTGCGTTTTTGTTTTGGTTTTGGCACTGGAACGGGCGGGCTAGCAGAGATTCTTTGCGGAATTTGAGGGGATGGAGCAAGGGTCATTTAGGATGAAGCAGCACAGGAATTTGTGGCCAGCTAGCAGTGCTCGTTTGTATTCCTTTTTCCAGGAATGCCGCCGGAAGTTGATCGCTCGCCAGATGCGGATCCCGCCCGTCGACGTCCGCATAGAGGGCGATTTTGTGCCGTCGTATCGATACGGCCGCGTCCCGATCATCACGTTTTGCAGTCGATGCAGGGTGAGTCTAACCGATTACGCCATCTAATTTACGAAGCCCGATCCGAATCCTCAACCTTTTTTTCAGCAACTAATCGAGACGGAAACCCGGGAAGAAACCGGCATTTTTGCCGTATGGCTGTGCATCGCGTTGGCTTGCCTTTTGTTATGGCCGTGCGCTCCACTGCCCTGTTTCCTACCGATCTGCCAGGATATTGCCCACATCTGCCCCCACTGTCGGCATGTTCAGGGGAGAGCAAGGAGGGGCAGGAGGCCCAAGTTTTATGTCTAATTTTTTTGTAATAAACTTTTCTATTCAATTTCCATCGATTGCAACGGTTCTTACTGCGGAGCTTTCGCATTATCGGGGGAGAAGAGGTGGTTTATCTGGGAACACCAAATTTTTTTAATTTGTAGCGGATTTTCTCATATGCAAAGAGAACGCTTGTTTAAACGGGTTTTTATCATTTTCAACATAAAAACGTCGCAAACGATGCTGCAAAACCTAAAAGAAAACTAGTTTTTAGCGGAAAATAGTCGATTTTTGGCAAAAATCGCTAACTTGAAAATTTTTAGAGTTTTATACATGGTTTTTATCGGTTTAAGCAGAGTAACATTCTGCCAAAAACGCTAGAAAAACGTTTTTAGGCATTTTTATAGCTGTGCAGGCTAGCAGGATTCTTTGAGAAAGATTCGTTCGGACCAGTTTTTGCGGGTCCGGGGCAGGCTAGCAGAGATTCCTTGCGGAGCCTCCATTTCTATATTTATTTCCTTAAAATTAAGGTACAAAGAGCATATTTTAGCACCAAATCCAGGGCTGTAGGCTGGCAGCTGCCGCGCGGAGTGGATGAGGCCAAGATCACAGTGTTGTGTGTGGGTGGGTGTGCAAAAATCGATAGGCGATTGGAAAACAATGATAAAGATGTCAAGTGACTCATTAAGGAGAGGAGAGATCCCGTATGTTCAAAAACGCAGCCAACGCATGAATCAATCACAATACAAACAGATAAATAGAGGAAAATCCATTGATTTTCGGGTCCTCACCAGACGACGCATCGCTTGCTGGGGTTCATCGTCGAGCCGGCCGGGCATTGGAACGCGTGCGCGAATTCGGGCTGATTCTGAAATAAAACTATGTTGCTGCTCCAATTCCTCAAAGAATCTTTGCTAGCCTGCCGCCTCCATCCCCTCCAATTCCTCAAAGAATCTCTGCTAGCCTGCCCCCTCCATCCCATCCAATTCCTCAAAGAATCTCTGCTAGCCTGCCCCCTCCATCCCCTCCAATTCCTCAAATAATCTCTGCTAGCCTGCCCCCTCCATCCCCTCCAATTCCTCAAAGAATCTCTGCTAGCCTGCCCCCTCCATCCCCTCCAATTCCTCAAAAAATCTCTGCTAGCCTGCCCCCTCCATCCCCTCCAATTCCTCAAAGAATCTCTGCTAGCCAGCTTCGACTTCTTAGTACCTCTAAGGTAAAAAATTTACGTACCTGGAGCACGACATTGACTCGGAACATGCCCGGAGCATGAGGATCGGTGAGAATGAGACGGAGGGTTGCCTCGGGCGTCATTTTGTTGCACCACGTCTGGAAAAGACCATATTTCTGTCGGGGTCAATCTCGCTCTCTCCTGGTCTCGCTCCCACTCTCTCGCTCTCTCTCTCGCCCTCCCTCTCTCGCTCTCCCTCTCAGGTTTCGATGGCCATGCCGAAAAATTAGCTGATTTCAGCTATTTTGTGAGTCTTACTCTCTCTCTCTCTCTCTCTCTCTCTCTCTCTCTCTCTCTCTCTCCTCTCTTTCTCTCCTTTACCTGTGCGTATCCAATGAAGAACATCTGGTCATTCGTGTACTTCTCGAGTCCTGGAAGAGCCTCTTCCGGTCCGTGCTTCTCGAGGAAGCGTTTGTAGGCCTTGTAAGCCTGCTTGACGCCTCCATTATCCGCGATATTCTCGCCCTGCGTCAGCTTGCCATTCAAATGTTGTCCGGAAGTGTTTGGCACTTCTTGGGCACCATACTAAAATGAACATTTATGATACCAAATAATAGAAATTGACATTTTTATGGCAAAAAGCTTCAATTTCGCCCTGACCTGATCAATGATGCACTGTGTCCGTTCCTCAAACTTTTCCCTTGTCGACGCGTCCCACCAGTTCTTCAGGTTGCCGTCTTTGTCGAATTGAGAGCCTGGAAACAGTTTTACATGTCGATTCCCATACAAATCGTTACGTTTTCCATCCGTAAAAATTTTCGGACATACCTTGATCATCAAATCCGTGGGTGATCTCGTGTCCGATTACGGCTCCAATTCCACCGTAGTTGAGCGACCTAAAAATATCGATAAACTATTTTAAAAACGGTATCCCTATTCCTATTTAAAGCCGATTTAAAACAGGCTTCATCCGTTTTTAAAAGCAAAATTTTTTTGAAACCTACTTCGGGAATTCAGCGTCGAAGAACGGCGGCTGCAGGATGCCGGCGGGGAACACTAAAAGCAAAAGTGATGCCGATTTAAAAACAACGCACTAATCGCATTCTTGATCGACGAGTAGAAGGCGTTGACGACGGCGGCGTTCGTGCTGAACTCGTCGCGCTTCACCGGCTCGAGAAGGCTAAACAACTCGTTTAACGCCTCTTGTAATTTAGCTCTCTCTCTCTCTCTCTCTCTCTCTCTCTCTCTCTCTCTCTCTTCTCTCTCTCTCTCTCTCACACGTCTCTTACCGGTTGTATGCAAAATTGATGCCCCATCGCGTGGCCTTCTCGATCATCTGCGAGTAGGTGTCGGTCTCGGAGACGGTCAGCTGAAAAAAACAGAGAATTTAGATCTCAAACCTGAAAAGCCATGCCGCTTAGAATCGTTAAAAACTTACATCACGATACCAATGGTCGAGCTCCTCATCTCGAAGGATGAAGTCGGGGAAGCCGATCAGACGCAGCATGGCCGAGGCTTTTTCTTGGGCAATCTAAATGGCAATTTGCACATACACAAACGAGGTCAATTCTCTTTTTCAAGACATTGAGAAGTCAAAAATCAACCCTTCGATCCACTGGGTCTCGACAGCTACGCAACACTCCAGCGTTCAAAACAAAAAAGGCGCGTGGGAAAAGGGCCATAAAGCCCAAAAAGCAACCATCCCTGCCGGCTAGGTCTCGACAACTACGCAACACTCCAAATGACGCGTTCAGGCTGCCAAAACTACGATTGGCACGTGCTATTTGGAGTGCCGTTCAGATGTCTAGACCTGGTCGCTGGGAGGGGGGACTTTCGCGTTTCCTGGTCACTTTAAAACCGTTAAATTCTGACCTTCTTGGTGCTGGGGTCCATCCAGTCGTTCTGCAACAGCATGGCGGCAAAGGCTTCCTGCAGATCGTCGATCATGTCCACGGTGGTGGCTTTGGCGGCCTGAAATGACGATTTATCTTTTCCTCTCTCTCCCTCACTCTCTCTCTCTCTCTCTCTCTCTCTCTCTCTTTCTTATTCTCTGACCTTGTTGAAGAAGTGGCGGACGTACAGCGAGCCGGCGGCATAGGGCATTCTAAAAAACGCGTTTTTTGCTATAAATACCGTAATACAAACCTGTTAGTAGTAGATGAAGAGCAGTCCTTCCACCGTGGCGATTTCGTCTTTTTGCCAACGAGATCACGGACGAAATCCTGAAATGAGCAATAGAGTCTTCCTCAAGTTTCCTCATGAATCTCTGCTAGTTTGCCCAAGCTTTTCTCTCAAAAACCCAACCAAAAATCATATAAACCGGCGAAAGCACTTTCAAGGCAAAGACTAACTAGCCGAGGCCATTTTGGAACCATTTTTCAAAGAGTCTTTGCTAGACTGCCCTCCCGAAAATATCCCCCTCGAAACCGACCTGATAAATGTCCTCATATTTCTTGCCCAACTGCATGCTCCACGCCGAGGTGTACCTGGAAAAAAAATCAGGACTTCAAGGAGTCCAGAAGCTGGAGGATCGACCCCTTGTCGTTGCTAGGTCTAGACTATACATGGGCGGTCACCCCGGAGGGTCACCCTGGGGGTGACCGCCGCTCACCCCCGGGGGGTGACTGCAATGGCACCCTGGGGTGACCCGCCGGGGTGACAACCTGGTCACCCTATAGATGCAAAGTGCTGCATTCAAATAAATTTCTATGGCAAGATGCCGGTGTTTTGCCGCACATATCATACATTTTTCATTTTAATCGAGTATGAAATACCCTTGAAGCGGCAGTGGGAAAGTATATAACTTAAAGAGAAAAATTTAGGCTTCTGATCGCTGCCCACAGCAAATTCTTGGCCGTTGGGCATTTCCATCTAAGTAATTTGCATGGATAGGGTGATCCGGTTCCGCACCCTCACCCCCGCCAAAAATGGAGGGGGTGACACCCCATCGTGCCATTCAGTCACCCCCAGGGGGTGAGCGGCGGTCACCCCCAGGGTGACCCTCCGGGGTGACCGCCCATGTATAGTCTAGACAGCTACGCAACGCTCCAAATGACGCTAATAATGCGCTACCTAAATCCCAGAAATCAGGTTTTTGTGTCATTTGGAGTGTTGTGTAGCTGTCTAGACCCGGCAACCGGATAAAGCTCGATTTTTTCGCTTTCTCGTCTCTCAAAAAGGGTCTGGAGAGCCAAAAAACCACTGTTCAAAATCTGCTAAACTTCAGCTACCTGTAGATGACATAGTTGGTGATGACCCTCGGGTCCGTGTCCTTCAACAGCTCGGTGAGACGGTGCAGGAAGTCGACCTCGGTGATGATCACCTGAAAATTTTGAGTTGAAAGGACCATGGAAGGCGAGATTTAGAACAAAAATCTCTTTTTCAAGGTCTATTGAAGGTAAGAATCACTATAAAACCAACTTTAAAGGCCGAATGAAGTGAAAACCGACTAAAATGCTGCTTTTAGAAAGTAAATTTGTATAAAACTGTGTCAAAGGACCATTGAAGCCAAAAACTACCAGAAAAATTATATTTTAACGGAGCTTTGAAGTCAAGATTTACCTGTGGATCGGCTTTCAGGTATGCGTGTGTGGAGAAGGGCATCACCGAGACGAAATAGCGCTCCCAGTCGATCTAAAAAAAATTATGTCTTGGCTCTCTCTCTTCCTCTCTTTCTATCTCTCTCTCTCTGTCTTTCGCTGTCTCTCTCTCGATTTCTCTCCCTAGAACTCACGATCGGCATAAATTTGGCCATTTCGGAGAGGCGTGAGAGGTAGTAGAGCTCGGTGTAATTCCTCCTGTCCTCCTCGGCTACGGTAATATTGGCGAAACGCGTCTCGAACTCGAACATCTCTTCGACGTCGCGCTGAAAACAAAGTTTTTTTCTGTTGCAACCCTACAGCCTCCAACTCACCGAGATCTGCTCCTCATTCGGGATGAGTCCGGCGTCCTGGGTGATCAGCTTCACCTTGGCCTTCATGTAGCGCAGGTAGGCTGTCACCTAAAAATTCAGAACATGAGAAAATCCTAAAGAATCTCTGCTAGCCTGCCCCCTCCACCTCCTCCAATTCCTCAAAGAATCGCTGCTAGTTACCCACCTGCTTGGCGTATTTCTTCGGGTCAGTGAAGTAGGACCTCGAGCCAGATCCGAGTCCCAGACCGCCCTGGTCGAAGGAGAGCAACCTCCTGGAGACGTTCTTCGTGTCGGTGGAGGCGTAGATATCGACAAATACGTCGATTCCCCGAGTCTGGAAAGGTACTGGATTTGAAAGGAGTCTTTCTCTATCGCTCTCTCTCTCTCTCTCTCTCTCTCTTTCTCTCTCACTCTCGCTCTCTCTCTACCTTACCTGTCCAACATTGATGAGCAGCGTGGTGAGGTCGAACTCCTCGCGGTCCCACAGCGAGCCGTGCACCATCGGCCAGTAGCCGAGGGACTGGAAGGGATAGGTGTATTCCGCAAAGAATCTCTGCTAGTTTGCCTTTTTCTAGCACTTGCTCAAATTCCCAAAAAGTCCCTCCAAGTTCTCCCTTACCCTAATAGCATCAATGAGATCAGGCGGTCCTCTCTGTTCAATCGTCTCCTCATCCATACATGCCGTGTAGAACTTCTTGAGGGTGTTGATCGCCTTGGACGGGTAGCGCGTGTTCGACTCGTACAGGTCTAAAAAAAGAAAAGAAAAAAAAAATGGTCTTTTCGGGGTTTCCGTACCCTTCATCTCGGCCTGAACTTTCTCCCTCAACTCGGTGAAGTGGGAATAGGCGGTCAGATCGGCCGGAATCTCGTTGGCCGCCACCCAGCCGCCGCAGGCGAACTCGAAGAAGTTCTCACATGGGTCGGCCTAAAATGGAACGATTTGCTCAATTTTAAATTAGAGTAAATCATATTTAGTTTTTTAAAGCCCTCTATCATAAAACATGAAAATTTGGTAAAAACTTTAAGTACGGAAACCTCATTTTTTCATCTGACCTCATCCCCAAAATTATTTGTTTTAATCTAGAAATGTTGAGTAACTTAACAGGAAGTGTTTTCATAATGTTTTTAGTAAAATCAACTATAATAATTTTCTTGACGCGTCTGTCCGTCCGAAGCCGAATTCAACTCGAAGGGGAAAAGAGCTAGAGCTTAGCTCTCTTCGGATTCGGATAGAGCGTGGTCAGAAACCCCCAAACTGATAAAAAAATTATGAAAAAGTTTTGGTTTAAATTATTAAAATTAACTTTGAAAGTTTTTTCCTTAGTAAAAGGGGTGGGGACGGGGGTTGGGGTGATTTTGGACATAGTGAGCCAGGTCGCGCGCGTTTCGTGGATGAAAATTTTCACGGGGGATTTCATTTCTTTTTTTCTCTCATTCCAGCCGGTCGGTCGTTATTTTCGTTTTTTAAAAGGATTTCGGCTAGGGGAGGTATCTGAAGCCATCGGGAAGGTATTTAGGTAGTTTTTGAAGGGGATTTCGGCTAGGGGAGGTATCTGAAGCCATCAGGAAGGTATTTAGGTAGTTTTTGAACGGGATTTCAGCCATGGGGGGTATCTGAAGCCATCAGGAAGGTATTTAGGTAGTTTTTGAAGGGGATTTCAGCCATGGGGGGTATCTGAAGCCATCAGGAAGGTATTTAGGTAGTTTTTGAACGGGATTTCAGCCATGGGGGGTATCTGAAGCCATCAGGAAGGTATTTAGGTAGTTTTTGAAGGGGATTTCAGCCATGGGGGTATCTGAAGCCATCAGGAAGGTATTTAGGTAGTTTTTGAAGGGGATTTCAGCCATGGGGGGTATCTGAAGCCATCAGGAAGGTATTTAGGTAGTTTTTGAAGGGGATTTCAGCTTTGGGGGGTATTGATGGAGGTGGGAAAGGATGTGGTGTGGTGGGACATGTAGGGTAGCCCGAAGGCCAGATGGTTGCAGTCGCGAAGCGACTGTAACCATCTGGTAAATTTATAGTTTAACAACAAATTTATAGTCTAAAACCCCTGAACAAAACAGATGTTAAAAAACCTAAATTTTGGTAAAAACGGCCATTTCTGGTCGAAAAATCGATGGGCTCTGTAATTTTTAATAAAATTTTGGAGCCTTTTCACGTTTTAGGTTTACGTTTCAGTTTAGAAACAGTTTCGTTATTAATTTTTAAAAAATTTTTCCTAGGCAAAAACCCCGTGGAAAATACGGTAATGACTTATTCCTCACCGACTGGTTGATGGCCACGTTGAGGAGCTGGGAGGCGCGGATGAAACCGGGGGCTCCGCTTACGACTGGCACATCCGGGATGTCCAGCAATTTGGAGTCTCTGAAACGCAACTATGAGCGTGAGACTATCAAAATTATACTTGTTCAATATCGACAATACCATAAAAGCTTACCGCCCAAGTGGAAGCCGCGGATTGGCCAAGGCTAGCGGTAGCAGGAGAAGCGGAAGCCACCGTCCCATTCCTGAAAATGTCAAAATTAAATTTTTAGGGGCAGAGCAACGCGTAAACCAAAAAAAATGACGGCAATCAAAAAAATGGATTTGGCTGGGGCAGGCTAGCAGAGATTATTTGCGGAAAACGGAGAAATAGGAGAGAGAGAGAGTGAGAGAGAGTGAGAGAGAGAGAGAGAGAGAGAGAGAGAGAGAGAGAGAGAAAGGGAGAGGGAGAGTGAGAGTGAGAGACCGCGAGACAGAGTGAGACAGGGGAAGAGAGTGAGAGAGCGAGAGAGAGAGGGAGAGGAGAGAGAAAGAGAGAGAGGGAGAGGGAGAGAGAGACAGAGAGAGACAGATGGTGAGTAAGAGAGAGGGGGAGAATGAGAGTGTAAGCGAGAGAGTGAGACAGTGAGTGAGACAGAGAGCGCGAGATAGAGAGAGGGCAGGCTAGCAGAGATTTTTTGAGGAATGGGAGGAGTGTAGGGGCAGGCTAGCTGAGGTTCTTTGATAAAATCCAATGATCTCTGCTAGCTAGCCTGGTCTACTTTTTTGGCGGCCATACATATTTTGGCGCCGATCCAAAATTGCTATCTTTGAGGGGCGAGTGGGGGCCAAGATGGGGCCAATAAGAATTTCTTTCGGGGCCGAGCCACTTTTTAACAATCCGGAAAAATGCGGCTCCACAGAAACAAAGAGGGAATCGCGACCGGAAATGGCTGGGGCCAACGGCCAACATGTTCAGTGTTTTCTCGGGAGCGCATTTTGGAGTTTTTGGCAATGAGGAAACTAGAGAAAAACATCTTCTTTTAACTCTACATCTTTTTAGTACTTTTTCACTGAGCTTAGCGTGCCCAAATTAAGGGAAAAGAATTGCTAAATTACGCAAATTTACACAGCCAGTTTCGCTTTTCAAAAATTTCGAAAGTAATAATTTTGTCTCTGTCGTTTTTGAAATAAATTAATTTAAATAAATCGCATTTTTAAACCCAAAAATCGATTTTCAAATCCAAGAGAAAACGCAACTAAAGTAACACGATTTTTCAGGTAAAAACAAAACTTATAAATAGCTAGTTAAATTATCCTAATAACTTTCAATTTAAATTGACGGAATTTGCATTCGAAAAATCGATAAAGCACAAAAGAAAACAGCTTAAAAAATCGAAAAAACTGGTACCGCGTTTGTTTTTTGGGAATTGAGGTGCGCCACCCGCTGAGCCGGCCGATGGACCACAGAAAATAAAAATTTTGAGGCAATAATATACGATATGACAAAAATTATGGATGCAAATTAGGAAATAGAATCCAGAAACTGACATGTCTGACATGTTTTTTTGGTCCATTTCCAAGTGATTAGGGGCCTTCAGGGTTCCACGAGGGTCACCCGGTCAACAGACAATGTGATAAGGATTCCGTGACGTAAGTGGTTGTGTTATTAGAGAAAATGCAAAGATCACGAACACCTGGGCCTCCCTGAATTCCCCAAAGGGCTCTGCTAGCCTGCCCTGGCGGCTTTTTTTCCTTGTCTTTAAGCTAAGGGGGCTGAAGACGGGCAAGCCAGCAAAGGTGATTTGAGAGATCGCGTTAAAAGGCGCCCGAAACACGATAGCAGAGCTTTTTCTGAAAATGAACTGAAAAAAATTGGCGACTTCTGTATGGAACTAAAGGGTGCAGAGGGCAGGCTAGCAGAGATTCTTTGGGGAATTGGAGGAGATGGAGGGGGCAGGCGAGCAGAGATTCTTTGAGGAACTGGAAGGGATGGAGGTGGCAGACTAGCAGGGATTCTTCGAGGAATTGGGAGTGTTCGCCTCGAAAAGCGGTCGTATAAAATGGTGGTCTTTTGTGGACAACCTGGGTGGCTGGCTGGCCTCCTTTATAGCCTGAGGGCACAACGTGGAGGGAGGGAGCACGAGCCGTCGAAAGGAAGGCGACGGACCCGATCATTTTATGGGCCGTCTCGAGGGGGAGGCTAGCCGCTGAGGTAAACCTGGTTTTCTTTAGTACCTGGTTCTCTCTCTCTCTCTCTCGCTCTCTCTCTCTCTCTCTCTCTCTCTCCTCTAAGGTCCCGCAGCGATAAACCCGCAGATCAGAACTGGTATATTTTGACCGAACTGTCCGACCATGACCGCCAACCACCCCGCTGCGTGATCGGATTTGGCACCACCACCCCGCCTCGTGCCTTTTTTGTGCCTAGTTTTTGGCATGCACTGATCGTACTGGTCTTGGCGGCACTGGAAATGAACCTATGGGAATCGGAGAACAAGAAAAGTACAAAATTGGAGTAGGAGGAGGAGGAGTAGGTGATAATTTAGCCACAAATTTGGAAAATTCTGTTAGCGGGTAATGTCTGGCAAATGCAGCCTTTGGCAAGCCGGCGGAGATCTTTTGGGAATATTCACCGAAAAATAATGGCTTCGGTACTTAAGCATTAGCAGGGGGGATGGAGCTCGAGGTGGAAGGACTAGCGCAATTTTTCCTAAATTTGCGGGTTGCCCTAGTAATCAAATCAAAACCGTTTTTATATGTTCTTTTAGTAAAGTTTGAACGATATTTTGGCTAGAAATATCTTTTAAGAAGTTAGGAAAATGTTTGAAAATTCGACATTTTGGTCGTTTAGGTCGAAAAACACGATTTAAACCTAAAAAATCAATTTTAAAAAAATTTGTAGAGTTTTATGCTCCAGACTGGCTGAAAACAATGCATAAACGCATTTTATAATTGCATAACAAAATCGAGAGTTGCGCCGAAAAAATTTTGAAGGGCCGGGCGGTCTAGCAGAGATCCTTTGGGACACCCTTTATAAAGCCGAGAACTACCAAATATCTCTGCTAGCTTGCCAACCTGGCCCGTGTCCTCGGCTCGTGAAGGCAGACTAGCAGAGATTTTTTGGGAAAACTTGCGGGGAAGGGCAGGCTAGCAGAAGCCATTTGGGAGCAAACCACCACCAAATCCGCTTCCGGTCAAGAACCTCTGCTAGCATGCTCCACCATCTGAAGGTATGAAAATGAAGCCGCCAGCGAAGGGGTACAGTCCATTCCAATGAACGCATGGGTCGGTAGGCCAGCAGAGAACCTTGAGGATACCAGCGACCATTTGCAACACAAATACGATGGTCGAAAAAATGTTCGAAAAACGAAAGTATCGCGCAAAAGTACAGAACTGTCCACTGGACATTTTGGTAGGCTAGCAGAGAGCCTTGAGGACAAGCCGTATCAAACAGGGCAGGCTAGCCGAGATCATTTTCCAGGCGCAAGCGCTAACAGTGAGCTGAATGTGTGAAAACGAAGGTGTCGACTCGGAAATACAGAACTGTCCTCTAGACATGTCCCTCCACCTTGTCTTCCCCAGTCGTGAATGCGTGGATAGGAATGGTGTGGAGTGGGCCGTGACACCCTTTCCCCTCTGCTCCCCCTCTCCCCCTAGGGCCCACAAACACATAAGTGCCCTCCAGATTCTGAGAATCGACATCAGAAGTGTGACTACAGAACAATACTCCCAACCGACACCTCCTCCCACCACACCACTTTTACAGTACTCAAGGAAGCCGCCGCCGCCGCGAGCGTTTTGTATAGTCACGCTTGTTGCGAACGGTGTTTGTAGGGTTCGCAACTTTGCGGAATTTTGTAAATAGCGGGCATAGCAGAGATCATTTTCGAGCGCCCGAAAGCTGGGGGAGGCTGGTAGAGATCCTTTGGGAATGCAGTAATTTGCTGGCAGGTTAGCAGAGATTCTTAGGAAACCAGTCGGTTCTCTTGAAATACGAGAGCAGCTAGCAGAGATCATTTTGGAACAGGTTTCGGCTCAACCCTAGGTGCGCTTTTTCGGACCAAAGGCAGGCTAGCAGAGATCACTTGAGGCTTCTTAAAGAGCGTCGATGCTGGGCAGTCTAGCAGCGATCCTTTAGGAACCAAAATGACTCGTTGGAGGAACTAATAGCAGCTAGCAGTGATCCTCTGGAAAATTAACATTATTGAGCATGAGCTAGTACCAATCACTGCGGAGAGCTCTGGCTTCTAGCCAAGATCGAGGGCACGGTAGCAGAGATCCCTTGGGAAATGAGCCTTTTCTGGGCATCGGGTATGCTAGCAGAGATTCTTTGAGGAATTGGAGGGGATGGGGGGGGCAGGCTAGCAGAGATTCTTTGAGGACTTGGAGGGATGGAGGGGGCAGGCTAGCAGAGATTCTTTGAGGAATTGGAGGGGATGGAGGGGGCAGGCTAGCAGAGATTCTTTGAGGAATTGGAGGGGATGGAGGGGGCAGGCTAGCAGAGATTCTTTGATATTTTGAGCTCTGGAGCCAGGCCCGGTGCGTCTGGAGTTCGGCGCGATTCTGAAGTCTGGAAACTGAGACCGGGGGGAATGGCCCGCTCTTCTACCATTTGTATGTTTTCTCTCTCTCTCTCTCTCTCTCTCTCTCTCACTCGCTCTCCTTCTCTAGGCGAGAAGAACAGGCCCTCGGGGCACACATACACAAATACACACAAATAGACAGGCCCCAGCCCCCCTCAGTCGGGCACTTGACAAATCTTTTCTTTTCGTCTTTTCGCGCCATACAGTCCCCAAATACACAAAAATAAAGGGCCCGGGGTTTCTTGGGGGCCCTCCAGGGCCCACAGCATCCAAAAAGGCAAACAATTCGCGGGGGTGACCCCGGTTTTGAAGAGTTTTCTGGGACGCAGATCCGGGATGAATGGCCCGATTTGGGGGATTGGAACGGAGATTGGAGGGCTCGCTTCCGGATTGCTATCATGGTTTAAGGGCTAAAGTGGGACTAGGGGACATTGGATACGGGACATTTGGGCCAAAAATCCTGGTGGGTCCGGTTTAAAGGGACTGGGAAGCTCGAGCATAACATATTATTTTGGCTGGGTCTCGACGGTGCTGGAAGACGCCGAAATTGCCAGTTAGACAAATCCCGACTGTCAGAATACCGACACGCCCCGATATCCATAATACCGACGGCCTGAATTCTGACATCCCAAAACCCCGACAACCGTATTCCCGACAACGAAAATCCCAACTTGCCGAAAT